GAGAAAATTAAAATTTCATTTTTTTTTTTTTTTTTCGAAAACCGCCCACGACCGCGTTTTTTAAAATCCCCCTTCCCCTCCCTCCCTTTCTCCCGCTCTACCTTTATTAATTATTTATCTTTGATTTATTTACCTTCGTATCTTTGGTGCGACATGACGACGACACCCGATCGCCTGGAAGGTACCGATGATTGTTGCTGCTGTTGCTGTAGCTGCTGTTGTTGAATTTGTCGTTCCATCGCGAACCTTTCTTCATCGTTCAGCTTCTGCAAATAACAATAATAATAATAGTAACAACATTAATTTTATAAATTTTAACGCATCGCCGAATGTGTCGCCACGGCCGCCATTGTCGCGTCCGTTCGACAATTTCCGTTTAAACTCCGCGTTAAATCCAGTCCAGAATTATTTATTTATTTATTTATTTATCAGGTTTGTTGAGAAAATTAATATTCACAGGTTGACGTAACGAGATTAAAAAAAAAAAAAAAAAAAAAAAAAAAAATTAGTCGTCGACAAGTTTTTATAACGTTTTTTTTTTTTTTTTTTTTTTGACTTAATTCTTTCTTTTTTTTTTTTTTTCTATTAAAACGATCGGATAACGATCTCAAATTGACCGATCGACCGGTCTTCTAGCGGTTTTTTTTTTTTTTTTCACAGCATCACGTTAATAATAATAAAACTTCTAAAACTTTCGGTTAAAAATGTCCTTTTATTATTATTATTATTATTATTTTCCCATCCGTATGTTTTCGATTATTTTATTCGAATGAATTAAAAGAAAAAAACGGGAAAATAGTAAAAAACGACTTTTGGACCATAAACGGTCGTCGCAATCGTTTTTAACGCCGCCGTTAAACGACGTGTTCGATAAAGCGACGGATACATCTGGAAATTTTTCTTTACTGGATAAAAATCTGGAAAACGTTATCAGTAGTTATTAACTTACCTCACTACCTTGTGCCACTTGATTATTATTTTTAGTTTGCATTTATTTTACTTTTTCCTTATCACACCTGGCTGGGGAAAAAAAAAAAAAATACGGATTTTTTTATATTTCCGCCCGAGTTCGCACGAGAGAAAAAAAAAGAACCGAACGTTCGCGTCGTCGTCGTCTCTCTTTCCCACTCACGCAAAAAATAATAATAAAATATTCGAAATGAATAAATAAAACAAAACACCATACAAACGAACAAACAAACAATCGAACAAACAAACAAACAAACGAACGAAAAAAAAAAAATTGGATAAAAGCCATTGTGAAATAAATATATATTTATATATATTGGAAGTCTACGAGAGTTCAGGTACGTATGAAGGACGATTGAAATAGAAAAAGGAAAAAAGGTAAAAGAGAAATAGAGAGAGAAAATACTAATAATAATAATGATAATGATGATGATGATGATGATAATGATAATATAGGATTCTATTATAAGGTTGTTTGTGTTCTCTTGACGTGAATTTCAATTAATCGACGACTCCGTAACGTAAAATAATTGATAACCAGAAGCTAACAAAAAACAAATTTTTTTGTTTTTTTTTGTTTTCATTTCTCGCTTTTCTCAATGTGAAACCGGAAATTGAATACGAAACAAAAAAAATAATAATAGTAATAATAATAATAATAATAATAATAATGAGAAGAAGAATAAAGAAAAATGGTAATCGAGAGAACAGGTACCATCCGAATAAAAAATTTTTTTTTTCCTTTTTTTTCCTTTCTGTAAATAAATCGCGAGAATATTATTTTTACCACCACCAAAACTTCCGCGGGAGAACAATCGATTTATCGAACGATCGATCGATCGATCGATCGAGTCGCGAATTATTAAATCGTAGAAAATGAAAAAAAAAAAAAAATAATAATAATAATAACCCTTACTCCACCGCCTCATAACCCCTACTCCACGTTTCCACTCTATAATTTTTTTCGAATCTTTCCCTGGAACCCAACCGAAATTTATGCTACCTATAACAAATGCTACCAACGTGACAATAAAAAATCAAAAATTTCCCTTCGTTTTAATAATAATAATAAAAAAAAAAAAAAAAATTAAATTTTTGAAAAACAATCAAATGGGAGTAAAATAGAAACAAAAAGAAAGAGTGAGAGAGAAGATGAGATAAGCAATTATTACGTCACTTCCCGTACAAAATAAAATAATAATAATAATAATAATACCAAATTACCAAAGTTCATATATAAGATCGATTCAAACAAACAAACAAACAAACAAACAAAAAAAAATTAATTTATTTAATTAATAACCGGAAAATCGAAAATATAAAAAACTTTTTTCACGTGTGAACGACAGCAAACGACAGCAAAAAAAATTACGTCACGTGTTTTTTCCCCCGGGAAAAACTTTTTGTTTTTTTTTTTTTTTTTGTCATTTTCGAAAAAACCGCCAACGAAATACACTCGAATCCCTTTTCATTTTTAATAACATTTTTATATAAAATAACTATAATAATAATAATAACAAACAAAACACACCGAACCCGCGTTTTTTTTTTTTTTTTTTTTTTTTTTTTTTACGCCTTTTCGAAATCAAAACATCATTTTATTAATAATAATAATACTGTTGTTGTTGCGTCACTTTGTCGCACAATTAACAAAAAACCACAAAAAAAATTTTTTTTAAACACTTTTTTCTTTTTTCCCACCCGATCGATTCTTTTCCCGTTTAAAAAAAAAAACAAATAACGATAAAATAATAATAAAAATAAATAAATAAATAAAAAGTGTAAAAAAATTCCCCCGTGGGAATAGATGAAAGAGAGAAAGAGAGAAAGAGAGAGAGAAAAAAGTTAAAACTTAAAACTTAAAAGTTAAAAAAAAAAAAAAAAAAAAAACGTGTTACAGTAAGAGAATACCAATTGCAACTGACTAAAACCAAAATAGGGGGATAGGAATTACGGTTGATCGCCTAACTGTAACGACCGTTTTCATCAGGGTTTCTTGTTCTTTATTCTTTTCTTTTCTTTTCTTATACACGCGGAGGGTAAAAAAAAAAAGACAATCTTTTAAGGTTCTCCCCCCTTCTCTCTCTCTCTCTCACACTCATTGTACGTGTTTATTTTTAACCCCCTTCCCCCACCCGGGACGGACGTGGCACAATCGTTTGTTTCTTCTCCTTTTCCATCTTCATCATCGCGCGCTCGTTTCCTCTTTTTTTTTTTTAAACGTATCCAAATTTCCGGTATGATTTATTATTTAATAAACGTTTCTCATACGAACTTATAAAAATAATAATAATAATAATGATCCCACGGGATGAAACGACGGGGGTAGGTGTCGTTGTTGTTGTTGTTGCAAAAAATACAACGACCGAATCGTTGGATTTTCCATAACCTTTTCCTTTTCCCTAACCTAAACACATTTTCATTTGTAATCATAAATCACGACGTGGCAGTAGATAATAAAGTTGGAAAATTTCATCTTTGAACGAAAGCAAAAACCAAAAAAACAAAAAAAAAAAATCACGAACGCTTCGTTTTCAAACTTTCGTCTTTTCTACTTTTCGTTTTTGTTTTTTTTTTTTTTTTGGGGGGGGGGGGAAGGGAGGAAAGGGAGGAAGGTTGTTCGGGGTAAAAAAAAAAAAAATTTCAAAACCCGATCGAATACAAAAAAAATTTTTGTTTTTCATTTTCATTTACGTCAGGTAGGTTTCCGAAAAAAAATCAAAATGAAGACAATCAATCGTAATTGGTAGGCGTTTCTTATTATTATTATTATTATTATTATTACTATTATTATTATTAAGCCTTTTTATATTAACCGAAATATTTCTTTCTATCATTTTAACCCCCCTTCCCTTCCCTCCTATCCCAAAGGCACAATCGTACCCGGGGAGTCACAAAAAATTAATAATAATAATAATAATGATGATGATGACGAAAATTTTTTTTATCTAATTTTACATTAATTAAAAAAAAAGCGACTCGATCGAAATCTCTTGTTTTGCTCTCGTTACCGCCATCACCGCCACCCCCCCCACCGCCACCTTAACCGTCCGCGTTCCACATTTTAATTATGATTATGATTAAAAACCGTTGGAACGAAAGCGGATGTTTTAAAACAATAAATCACGGCGTAAAAGCACACACAGTGAGAGAGAGAGAGAGAGAGAGAGAGAGAGAGAGAGAGAGAGAGAGAGAGGGAGAGGGAGGGAAATTAACGAAGTAAAAAAAAAATGTGACAAAGAATTCGTAAAGAAAATAAATTAAGAGAAAATAATTATAAGAAAGAAAAAAAAAAAAAACATTATTAATAATAATGATAATAATAATAATAATAATAATAATAATAATAATAAATTTCGTTCGAACAGAGTGGCAGTAGTAGTATCAATTACGTTTCAGTATCATGTTCTTCCTTTCCACAAAAACTTTTCCATTTTATTTTTTTTTTAAAAAAAAAAAAAAAAAAAAAAAAATTTTTTTTTGCTAATGAAAACGTCAACCCATGTTAACCAACTTTCGAAAAAAAATTGAATAAATATTTAAATCGGTTTTTAAACCCGACAAAAAATCCGAAACATGACGGAAATCATATAAATAACCGACCAATAATTTCCTTTTTCCCCCCCCCCCCCCACTTTTTTACTCGAAAAAATTATTTCGAAAAAAAAATTTATATATATCACAATCACTCGTACGAAACCATCCGAATCGAACGGAAAAATAATAATAATAATGATAATAACAAACTTAATTTTTTTTCTTTCTTTTTAAAATTAATAATAATAGTTATTAACGAACCGACGCCATTTTGTTAATCGTCATAACTTTTCCTCTCCATTATAAACCAAACCTCACACAGAAATAATAAATAAATAAATAATAATAAAAACATTCTTTTTAACCCAAAGAATGAATGAATGAATGAATGAATGAAAGAATGAAAAGAAGAAGAAAATTCCAAAAAAAGAAAAAAAAAAAAAAAGAAAATTCACTCACCGAATTTCGTGTAATAATTTTGTAATTTCTATTCCTCAACATTTTCTCGTCGAATTGAAATATTTCAATTTTAATTCGTATTTAAATCTATTATATATTTTTCTATTTGACGTCATATCTAAATTTTTCATTTCGTGAAATTCATTTTTTCTTTTATAACCGTCGTGAATGAGAAAACCATTTGATATTATTTTAAATTTATAACCCGCAACGTAAAGTTCACAAATCTAAAATGAGAGAAGAATAAATTTTTATATTAACAAAAAAAAAAAAAATTTAATGGCATCAGACAACTTTTTTTTATTTTTTTTTATATCAACTAGTAGCAAATTTCAATAAGGTGAAATAAAAGATGTTACGCGACACTATTATTATTACAAATTTAGAAAGAGAGAAAGAGACAGACAGAGACAAAGAGAGAGAGAGTGAGAGAGAGAGAGAAAAAAAACTCATCGGATGGAATTCCAAGACTATTAAATTTTAATTTCTAGTTATATTTTCTCTTAACACTACCATTCGAGAAAGAGAGAGAGAGAGAGAGAGAGAGAAAAAAAAAAAGTTATCATTATTAATTTTTGTAATCGATAAAGTCTTAAGCAACGAACCGTTAATTAATAATAATAATAATAATAATAATAATAATAATAAAATTCACCTGACTGACTCTGTTCATTCCATATTGTTTAAACCTTTCATCAAAATTTGGCACTTTTTTATTCGATATAAAAAATGGCTCCCACGGATATTTCCATTCAACTTCGTATAAAATTTCAATCCCTGGAAAAATTTTTATAAAAAATTTTTCTTTTGTCGTTGTTGTAAGAAGTTCATGTTTAACTTGTAAATTTTTTTTCTCACTCACCTGACGTTTTATTATTTTTAAGCCATTCTGTGTAATTTGTAAGACTTTGACATTTTTCACATGGTTCTAAATAAAACGGTCTAGCTTTTCCCATTTTCACACATTCCAATAAATCATTTTTAGATTGAGGCATTTGTACATCATGCTCAATTTCAAATATTGGTACAACAAACACAACATCATTCCATTGATATTTTTCAACGAGTTTTGATTTTAAAAAATCATTTCGAAGATTTTCACTTGGTAACATGTCAATATCGATTGTCAAAATGTAATCTGTGACACTTTGAGATTTTGCTAAATTTCTTAAAAAATTTACAGGATATGGATGTAAACTGGAACAAAAAAACAAACAAATTTAGTTTTACAAACTATTTGTACATAATTAATCGAATAATTACATTCAATATATATATATACTTACTGTTGATAATTTTTTTTTTTCATTTCACGAACGACAACTGTTTGTCTGCATGAGAAAGAAGTAAATGAAACATTTAATTTATTTATTATATTCATTCCTGAAACTGTTTAAAGAAAACAAACTTATTAAATGTATTACTTTTTCCTTTTTGTTTAAGTAAATGTTAAAAACATAAAACTAACGATTGTGATCGTTGTTGGGTAAGACCAACTGCATGTTTAATTTTTTGCATTTATTGCAATAAACAATTCTCGTCATGTTCCACAATATATTTTCCAATTCATTCCAATCGCCAAATACTGCTACTGATATTGGACCCTGAAAAATGAAAATAATAATAATAATAATACACACAATTCATTTAAAATCCTTTAAAAAAAAAAAAAAAAAAAAATGTGAAATGAAACGAGTACTCACATCCCACTTGTCGCACAAACCCTCTATCATGTGTACATGATTAAAAGAACACTGGGATATTAATGTCACATCATTTTTATTATTATTAAAATTATATGATATCAATTTAAATATTTTATAAATCCCACTTCTATCGATTTGTGCTTCACTCTTTAAAATCCTTAATAAATCATTATAGGTGTGTAGTATTCCCTGGAAATAAAAAAAAAATTATAAATGAATTTAATTTATTTGTAATTTGCACCTAATTAAATTTTAATTTATTAAATATATTCGACCAGCAGCATAAAAAAAACAAAATGAATTAACAATCACCATTCCTAATTCAATTCATTCAAACGTTTAATATTAGCCTAATGCAGAAACATAAACCATTTTTTCTAATAATTATCATTATCATCATCATCATAATTTTTTTTTTTTTTTTAATGGAATGTTCTAGAAGAAAAAGAAAGAACAAATAGAAAATAAAAAATATTAATAAAACTTACTGATGAATCCCTTGATAATTTTTTATAATTAACATTCAAATACCCGAATATGATTAATTGAGTCGTTAAATAAAATATTAAAAAAAGGTAATAAAATTGTAAACGATCGATTTTAAAAGCCGTAAATAACATTTTTTTTCAAAAAGAAAAACGTTAAATTACTTAAATTCATTTAAAAACCAAAAAAAAAAAATTCATTTAGAAATATGTATATCAAGTAACGCTCGTCACCCACATGGAAGGAGGATTCTATTGAATTAAATTTTCGATATATCGAAATATATCGAATGTTTCTGCTTTGTTTCAACAAGCATTCTTTAACCATTGAAAAAAAAAAATTCTTTTTTTTTTTTCTTTTTTGATTTTAATTCTCCCCGTTAATATTATTATTATTATTATTTTGTCTAAATAAATTTTAAACAAAGAAATTTAATCAATTAATACTTTGAGTCATTCAATCAAAAATAAATAAAATAAACAAAATTTTTATTTTTAAAAACGATTTCAAACACGCGCCGCCATTTTTTTTTTTAATCTTTTAATCTTTTTTTTTTTTGCTGAATATTACAAAATAAATTCCCATTTAAATTTTAATATTAATAATAATAATAATAATAATAATTAATAAGAACCAACGAATTAGATTTAGGTTTACGAGAGAATAAGAAAAAGAAAAAAAAAATGGAATTAAAACATATTTTTCTGATAATATCCGTTGATAATGTTAATAATAATAATAATAACGAGTCCATTTACACAAAAAAATGTGCGTGTGTGTGCGTATTATCGATGATACTTTTGACCTTTCAAGTTAAAAAAAATAATAGTAATAATAATAATAAAATTTTTTTTTCTTATTCATTTCAGTTTAGTTCGCATTGAGTTTTAACAACGAGTACGTCATAAACATGAAAATAATAATAATTGAATTTTTTTTTATATCATTATTATTATTATTAATTGTTACGATGACGACAACGGCGGAAGTTGTCAAAACTGAAAAATGTCCAAATCACGGTGAGTTTTTCTTTTTTCTTTTTACACAAAGTTACAACAATTAGTACCACGTAGGAAAAATGTCAATAAATACCCCTTTCTCCTCCCGTTCCCTCCCCTCCCCTTCTCTCTCTCTCTCTCTCTCTTTGAATGAAAATTTTTCACCTTTGATAAGAGGGGATAAGGCAGGGATGGAGGGAGAGACAGGGAATAAAGACTAAAAGTAAAATTTTTGTTATTATTATTATTATTATTATTACACACTAAAAACGACGATAACTTTTTAATTAATTAATTAATTAATTAATTACTTTTATGTGTGTGACTAACAAAAAAAAACTTTGAAACTGACAAAATGGAAGAGCAAAAGAGAGAGAGAGAGAAAGGAAGGCACAGAGAGAGAAAGGGAAGGAAAAAACACTAAGAGAGAGGAATAAACACGTAATAAACGTGTAATTATTATTATTATTATCATCATCATCATCATCATCATTATCATTATCATTATTATCATCATTATTAACTTTACACGTTAAATAATTTTTACATAATTTTTTATTTTATCCAAAACGAAAAATTATTAATTTAATAATTAAAAAAAAATTTTTTTTTTTTTCGTATCCTTTTTCATGTCCTTGACCTTGTCACCTTTATCAAATGATTCAATAATAATAATAATAATAATATTGAAAGAAGGAGAGGGGAGGGGAAATTAATGACCTATTATTTTTGGGAAGGGGGAAAATTAATGACCTATTTTTTTTGGGAGAGGGAAGAGGGCTGGAAGGTAAGGTACGGTGTTGGTTGGGTGAAAAAAAAAATGTCGCCGTTTTATTATCATTATTATAAATGTTTGTTGTTCGATTTCAGTTAATTTAAATTGTGACGTGAAGGAAGTACGTGTGACTCCATGTCCGGAAACGGAACAAAACAAACCCTGCCTAGTTAAAAGAGGTAAAAGAGTTAAAATAGAATTCGATTACACGACGAATGGAAATTACAGCGATTTAGAAACTCGAGCCTATTGGGCATCTGCAACTGGAGATTTACCCTGGATAGGAATGGATACGAACGGATGCGCGCACACCGAATGTCCGACACAAAATGAAAAATCTGAAAAATTTTTATACGATCTTAAAATTGGAAACAAATTTCCAGTCGTGAGTTTTCCATCATCATCATCATCTTATTTTTTTCGTGGGGGGGGAGGAAGGGAGGAAGGGAGGGAAGTCAAGAGAAAATTTACAAATTACGTGCGAACGCGACTGGAAAATAAACAAAAAATTAAAAATTTTTAATTATTTTCCTTTTTTTTTTTTTTTCCAGAGACAGTATGACGTAAAATGGCGACTCTGGAAAGAAGATTCCATGGAATGTTGCTTTATAATAAAAATTAAATTAGTCAAATGATACAAAAGCATGAAAATGAAGATTCCAACGGAGAGAGAAAGAGAGATAGAGAGAGAGAAAACCAAGCCCTGGAGAATTTTTTCTTTCTTTTTCTTTTTCTCCTTCTTATTATTATAATTATTTTTTTAATCTTTTCTCCATTTAAATAATAATAATAAAATATATATTAAAAAATTACCTTTTTTTTTTCAACTCCCAATGGAAACAAATTTGAACCATTTCCGGTTTAATATTAATTAACTGGAACGCAAAAAAAAAAAAAAAAAATTAAAAAATGAGAAAAAAATTTTTTTTTTTTTTTTTACTCCATGTAATTTGATAATTGATTAATTATTTAATTTTCCACCATTTTCTCCCTCCTCCCCCGTATCCCCATCCCCTCTCTCCACCTTCCTCCATCCCCCACGCCCAATCGGGAAAACGACTACCAAATCGTTTATCCAGATAAACAAACTCTCGGGGAAGAAAAAAGAAGGAGAAAAAAAAATTTTTCGGGGGGGAGGGAGAGAGGTGGGGGAAATTATTCGTAATTAATTCGTGATATAAATTAAGATAATTAATCGCGATAATAATAATAATGATTATGATGATGATGATGATTTTCTTTAAAAAAAAATTTTTTTTTGTTTTTTTCTTCTTTTTCTTCTGCCACGTGTGCGTGTGTGTAATCAAAAATAAAACACGTGATTTCATCATTTATTTTATTCGATACGAAATTTTTTTTTTTTCTAAT